TACTAATTTTAATTCGTTAGTTGGCTTCCAATTTGAATGAATGAAATATCTGTCTTGATTAATTGGATATCTTTCAAAGAATATTTTAAAGGTATTATTCATTTATAATTTTAAATAAAATTATTTTTTGAAATAATTTGAGAAAGTATAATTTATCATCAATCTTTTTTTTAATTCTATTCTATTCCATTTTTTGTAAACTTTCAGATAGGTATTATATTTGCGATAGTAATTGCCGGTATTCTGTTTTTCGGACTATGTGCGGCGATCATTTATTTCGGTTTTGTTAAAAGGGTTGGTTAATTATAAGGAATTTTTTCCCACTATATCATAACAAAACAATTGACGTCATTTGTTATTGTTTACTTTTTTATTGTTTATTGTTTGTCATTGTTATTTCTATTGTTGTTGACAAATCAAAAATTATTTTAATAATTTCAATTTTTTTCAATTCAAATGATTTATTGAATATATTTATGTCATATTACCAAATTTCCTACCTTTATTTTCTCTTTCGATAAATATATTTATACATTGAACATTTTAAATTCAAATTTGAAATTTATCCAAATTTGATAAGTTATCTTTTAATTAGGATTGTTTTTCACTTAATTATATTTCGTTCTTTTGCGATTTTAAACATCTAAAATCGTACCAACAAATGGCTGACAAAGAATATTTCAGTAGTTATTAAATGATATAAACATTATTTCGGCCGATTCATTCAGAGTAATTATCAATACATGATCGTGTTTTCATCCGGAAATCACGTTAGAGAAATTCACTTCATTATCCTGAAATCTATTTCATCGAATAATTCCGGTGATTCGTGTGATTTATATGCTAAATCATTGTAGATGAGAAAAAGTGAAAAACAAAGGCATACAGGGAATGGTACCATATCCAGAACAACCAGTATTTTACGAGCACCAACTTCAACCTATACAACATTGAGGAATGAAAAACCACCGTTTCCACATCAGTAAGTTTTTATCAACAAAATTTATTTTATATTTTTAAAATTTAAGAATACTTATGAGATTACATATATAGCATTAAAGTTAAAACTGATTATGATAGGTGTTGACAATAGTCTCGAGATAAGATCAATATACAAAAATGATTATGTTCATATTATCACACCAATAACCGAATTGATAATTCGGCATATGACTTTCAATTTTCCTCAGTCAAAATATTCGAATCACTTTTTTTCGTAACTATCTTAAATAATGTACGGATTCAAGGGAATGGTTTTATCGAGAGATTTTTCTCTAACCGATATTATTTGAATAATCTAAATGTTTCCAGATTTCAAAGGAATAAAAATTAGTTTTCTAGACAATTGCGAAGCGCTTACATTCCTAGTTTGGAAACACCCATCTTGCAATCACCGATGCATACTCAACCTGCATATGTACCACCACCACCCATATATGCCGTCCAATCGGATTATCCACAATCACAGAAGCAACGAAGGAATTATCCAAATCCAGAGGTATTCTGAAATCTTAAATCTTCTCAAATAACTATTAATAAAGAAGCTATGAATATCATAATATTATCCGGAAAATTTTGTACATTAATCTATTACTAATTCTGGTCAAACTTTAGCTTCATTAGCATACATTCTCATACATGAAATTCTTCTGCTAACTGTATTTACTTCATAACTTTGCATAAATATGTAATGCTACAATTGAACTATCAAAGTTCTAAAATTTGCTAACTTTTCCTATATGAGCACACACACACACACACACACACACACACACACACACACACATAAAGATAAATTGTCTTTCAATTTTCAACAGCCAATTTTAGTTTCTTCTCCGAATGGTATTGAAATTACAATTCTTTTTAAAAAGATTTAAAGCTCTAATTAATTTTGCATACAATTAACTTTTTCAAGCAATAGTAATATAAACTTATTTTCTAAAAGCATTTAATTATTAACTAAATACGTTGGTTGTGATGATATAATAAATGAATTATTGATCCTTAAGTTTCGATTTATGGCATACATTCATTTATTAACTTAAATTAATTTTTCCCTAAATTTTTTCAGAATTATCCAACTTGGAAAGGAGCAACAACCGGGTCACAAAAAAATATCATATCGGATAAATATCCGTTTTCATTTCATACATCTTCCGTTTGAATTGCATTTATGTTATTATGATACTTTTTACAATCTATAATAAATAGGTATTCATTTTGCAAAAAAAATGATTTCTACATTTTCCGAAAATTTTTATAAAATCGCTGATTTCCTTAATTTTCTTTAAAATTTATTTTATAATAAAATATTCATTTTTCATTATTCCTTATTAGCTCTCCTTCGTTATTCCGTCTCTCCGTTATTCGGTATTTCTCTCCGTTATTCCGTATTAGTTCTTCTTCCGTTATTGCTAATTCGATTTCTAATTTCAGGTTGCCATTATAAATTTGATCTTTAGTTTAAAAAAGGAAGAGAGTAAAGGAATTGCTATGCTTTTTTCATTCTTTTCATTCCTTACGTGCACGACAAATTGTAATTTTAATTAATTTAAAAGGCTTTTAAATTTCACTCAAATATTACTGTAATTATTATTTTACTATAAAAGAAAGAAATAAAACTACGAGAAGAGAAAAACATTAAAAGATTATGTGTAATTGACCTTTTTTGATTTATGAAATTAACCGTAACCTTTTTTTTCTTGTTTTCTTTAATGAATTTTGTAATTTAATATTTCAACTATAACTAATTGATTCGTTCATTATGATTCCATTTAAATTTGCTTTATTTTCTTTTCCCTCTCTCTTCTCATTACTTTGTATCAATTTTCATTTATAAAAAACCGTTTAAAATACAATGCTGCCATCTTTTGCTGATCAGTATCATGGAGATTTTATATAATGTACCATGTTGTGATAGATAGAGCAAATAATTTGATAAATAAACTAACATAAATTATGATATCAATCGAATTGATATCTCTACCACATTGAATTCAAAGTCCAAAATGTGTAGAGTTCAAATTTGAATATATTGGAATCTCGAATACACTGAAATTTAAATCCGACATAAAATGAGATGCGAATATTAAATGCATGAAATTCAAATCATGAATATATTGAATACATGGGATTCAAGTCCTAAATACGTGAATTAAAAAACCAAATGAATGAATTCAAATCCCGAATACGTCGAACCCAAATCTTGAATATATTAGTATACATTTGCATATGGAAATATTCTAAATAGAAAGGAGGCGTTGTTAAAAGTTGCAAGAAAAATATAAAATTACGCAAAGTGATATGATTATTAATTAGATTATTTGTTCAATTATATTAAATAAAAAGCGTTACTATATTTGGAATGAACAAATTACATTATAAGAAGAGCTGTCATTTATATTAATTACATTTCTATTATTTTAATTACTTACGTTTACTATTAATCATGTTTAATCGTTAATCAAATAGTTGAAATTGGAATGGTATTTTAAAGGAAAAGTAAAATAAATCAGAATGCATTATCGATAATTCAAATTCAATCAATCAGCGAAAATATTTACGGGAAATGCTAAGAATTTGAAAGTTTAAACATAGTGAAATGAAATGAAAGGTCAAATATTTAATCAAATACTAATATTTTATCGGAATTTCATTGGAATAATTAATTAATTAATTAAAAAAATTTTCTTCTCAATGATATAAATTCAAAAGTAATTTCTTATTTCGATAGCAAACTTTTTCTTTCTCTCCTTTTTCATTCCAAAAATTTTATTTAAAATACTTACCTAACAAGTGATCAAAGATCACAGGCGCAAACTTGCACCAATTTTTATTTGAAAAATATTTTGTTCGAAAATTTATTCATTTTTGCCTTTTTAAGAAATCATTCGTTTTTTTACACAAAAAAAAGAAATGTAATTATTGCATTGTTCTTTCAAGTTTATGTAAAAATTTGATTAATTTAATTACTCATTCAATCAATAATTGATATTTTATTACATTATCCACCTTCCTATTGTAGTCATTTAATGACCTAACGACACATTGTTATTGTTATATTGCATTTTCCATCTTCCCCCGTCTCCGCTCCCCCAAAATTGATTAATGATTATTTCTTCTGTGTAAACGATTTGCAGACGAACCTGCAAGTACCTCAATCAGATATGATTGTAACTACGATGCAAAACCAGTCTGGAAAATGTGAAACACTTATGGGATGATGTATAATTCATTCATCACTCATTAGTACATCAATAAATTTCAGATCGATTTGACAACTTAAATTATAATAATTATTTGTTCGGTGAAATGAAATATTTCTCTGTTGTCGAATCGAATGTTTAATAACAATAATAAATAATAATAACAAATAATAATAGTAAATAATGATAATGATAATAATAATAATAATAATAATAATAATAATAATAAATAATAATAACAATAATAAGCTTCACAAAATGACTATGCAAGAAGAAAGTTTTCTTTTATTTTGTAAAATCTTTGACATTAATGACAATTAAATGAATTCGTGGTGATGAATGAGTAATAGACCGATGGCTGCATAAGCTAACGAAATTTGAATTTTTGAAATATTTCGATTGGATTCGTAATTTTTGAATTGTGTCACATTTTTAGTTTGTATAACAAAATTTATAACATTTGAGGGGAAATTCTATTTCACATTCAACGATCAATTCATCGCTCAATTTTTCCGTCCTTTAAATTATTCATTTTATTTCTTTCTGAACATTTTAAATTAAATTTCTTTTTTAATAAAATGATTATTTGTGTATGAAACAAATGATCGAATAATAATTATTCATTAATTTCATTTTTTTTTCTTTTATATTACATTTTGTATTAATTAATATCAGTGATTATATTGAATGGTTTGCTTGGTGAGATATTACCGTATTTAGCATTTGTATTATCGTATTTCATTATTACTGTATTGCATTATTAAAAATATAAATTATTAGTATAGTAAATGGTTGTATAAATGAAATAGAGTAATGAATTTTGATTTTAATTTTTTCAAAAATTAACTTTTTCATTTTAAAATATCTTATTTTATAGGAACTCTTTATTACGTAGAATTTTTACTGACTTTCGAATTAACTATCTTAATGAAATTTGAATATTCTTTCATTAGTTATATTATCTTTTTCATCATTTTCTGCATTGTTTATATTTATCATTCTTTATCTCTCTTCTTTTTTTCTTTTTTTACTATCACTTTCCCACTGATTTATTTTCAGATATGATGATTATTACAATGATTATTATGCTGATGATAATGATGAACGTGACAATAATAATAAGAGTAATGAAGATGATTGTGAGATGGTGATAAGAGATAATAATGATGATAATGACAAGGATGGTGACAAGAGTAGTGAGGAAAATGATGATGATGATGGTAAGGATGATTATGAGTGTAATGAGATGATGATAATGATGATCATGGTGATGGGGATGACGATGTACGATGAAACTCTTACAATAGCTTTTTTGTGTTTTTCTTTTCATGTTATATTAAAAACTCTCTCTTTCACTAAGACATCTTTAAATTTGCATTTTAACTTCGAGAATGAATTTAGAAGTATGTGAGAAGACTTAAAAGGTTTAGCAATCATCGAAAGGGAAGCCATCCCATAGATATAAATAAATTGAAGAAAGATCATTCCAAAATCTTGACAGTTTCTTTCATCAACGGCAAGTTATTTTCTTTTTGTTTTGCTGTTTTTTTCCATCAATTACTTGAGGAGGAGAATTGCTGACAAAAGCGCTTCACTCCAATTATATTTCAAATTTCGATCATCACCTTATGACCTCCGCCCTATCATCACATCTGATAATTACGAATGCATAAAAATGGTAACGTAATAGGGAAAAAGAATGAGAATTGTAGAAACGAACATGCCATTATCGATTTATTCAATTAAATTATTTCTCCATTTTAATAATATTTAAATGGAAGAATGGCGGATACCTTTGTATACTTTTACAACTTCATCCATTTTTTTTTAGAACATAAGTTGATGATAATTTAATTAATTAATTGGAATTAATTGGAAAAGATGACGAATGGATTCCTTTTCCTTTCTCGTCTTATTTGACACATTGCAAGTTTGTTTCATTAAAGATCGATTAAATGGGAGTGAGTGAAAAGTGTGCAGTAATTTTGATGTTACTTCAACGATCATTTCTCATTCTTACTCTCTCTCCACTCTTCCTCTTCTTACTTCTTCTTCTCACACATATACTTTTTCTCTTCCCCTTTTTCTATGTTGTTATTTCTTCCTAATTGTTCTTTTCCCTTTTTTCTTCTTTCCTTCCATTTTCAACAACAAAAGCATTCACTCTTCTTTCCCTTCCTCGTCCTCCTCCCGCCATTCGGGAAAGAGGGAAAAACCTTAAACGTACGACATTCAATAGAAATAGCAACAGCATTGGTATACGCTCATGTATATACATATACACACACATACACACATGTACATATATGCATACATAGAGAGACAGGGAGACAGAGAGACATACAGAGAGACAGAGATACATACCACATGGGGAAAGTAGAAATTTATTGAAACTTATTTTTTTCTCACTTATTATGTTCGATAAATTTTTCTCTTTCTCTCCTTAAATTCAAATTATTTTTAATTCTATTCTCATTCTTATTCTATTCCATATTATTCTTTAACTCTGTGATTTATCGATTACTTAGATAATTAATCAATTTTTTGATTGTTCCTTCTTTGCAAATTATTCAGGAAAAGGGAATTATCATTTGTCAATAAGAAAACAAGAAATTTGATTGCTTTGTCTAATTATTGTTTAACGGGGATGAATGAAAACGGACGGAGAAAGACTGATAGGAAATCGGTAAAGTGATAAAGTGACATGGAGATAGGAAAAGGATAGACTGGATATGGATGAAATGATAAGGGAGAGGAGGATGACACGAAAGATGAGAAGGGATCGCCTTGTTGTGATTTCTTTTTACTAATCCGATAATATGGTTCAAAAAAGGTTCCTGGAAGATAAATGAAAGACCTTAAAGATTAGCATTACAAAATAACATTAATTGATTAATTAACTAATTAGCTTTGCCATCTTTTGCCAATTGATTTATGTCTCTCCGAAAATATTTTTTTC